CTCTTCAGAGACATAACAAACTGTTACATTCCCAGGAGCTGGTGCCTCTGTGGGTCTGTTTTAGCCTCTGGTGATTCATTTCTCAGYCTTTAAATGGGAATAGCAGCAATGCTACACCTCAAAGGAATGTAATCCAGGTAGATATATTCATGACCAAAATGGACTTGTATCAAATGCTGGAATTTGTGAGCAGACAGACCTGGATTGGATGGAGCCTTAATTTGTGCTCCACACTAACAGTGGCACAGTGAAATGCCTTAAAACCAGGAGTCAGTRCTGTGTTTGGAAATGCTGATGGGAAACTGGAATGCTGCTCTTGGGGTAGCCAGGTACCACAGGCACAGTTCCTTYTCAGTCACAGCACAAGTGGAGGCACGGGTTTGGAAAAATTTCTTAGATAATCACACTTTTTAAAAAAGTCTTGTGGCTTTTTTTTGAGCTGTAGAAGTGAGTCATCAGTTCTGTTTCCAAGTCTGGGGTGCTGAGCAGGGAATGAGCAGTTTGCCCACCAGGAATGGTGCCGAGGGGTTCACTGCTGGTGTGGTTCTTGGCAGACCCCTCCTAGAGCTATTAACAGTGTTGTAGATGTGCAGGAGGTGTAGAGCTGAGGCTCTGTGCCCTGGCAGAGCTAAAACAAGAATAGGCAATGTGCTAATATTGTCAGGAATAGTCTTGCTTTGGCAGGAATATAGATTAGACTACCTGATAAGTCATCTTAAAAAAAAAAATCTATTCCTTGAGTCAGTGTTACAGTACAAGGAATTGTACTTTAAAAAAGAGCCAGCAGGGATTTTCTAATTGTGTTTTTTTAAATACAGTCAAGAAAAAGGTGATTCCAAAGAAATCCTTATAGGGTAAAAAATGAGGAAATACAAAGAGATTTCTGCTGGTTTATTTCCTTCAGTTCTTTGTTAYATATAGGAATGGGGTGTATTACTCTAAATAATTCTGACTCCAGAGGCATTCCTTGCATTACACTTTTAGAACAGCAGAGTCCATTACAACAGCACATGTACATGTAAGGCTTTAACRATTTCATGTATTCAGTGTGTAGTAACTTGGGACCAAGCTCAACCCTTATGTTGTGATTCCCTCATTATGTGGAAGTGAAAAGCCATRGAGACATCCCAGTGCTACAGAGAAAGGCAAAGGGAAGGTGCCAGCATTGCTGGAAGGAAGCTGGAGAGTGGGAAATGGTGTAACAAAAAAATCAACACAAGGATGGAGGGGATCGCTTGGGTTGGTCTGACCTTTGGAGGTTAGAACGAGGAGCTGAGATTGGACTGCCAAAGATTGAGATTGTGTGAAACCTCCCTTCCTAAACTGAAATCCTGTGGACTCCTGGGCTCCTCTTTGAACTGGCTCATTGAAGCTGAGGGGAGCCAGGCCTATTAAGATGAAACAGTGATTTTCTAGACACTTCAACTCTGCCTTGTTGGGCTGCAGCAACATCTATGGTGGATGAGATTTTAGCAATTCTTCCCTTGCAGAAGCTCTGCTCTGTGCCCGAGTCCCTGAGCAAGGGAGGCTTGTTCCAGCCTGCTGCCCTCCCTGTGCTGCTCACTCAGKCCTGCCTTGCCGAAGGCTCTGGGCTGGGTTTCATCACAAAGGTGTCAGCTTTGGGTTCCCTGCTGTCTGCAGGAGTGTCCTGCTTATTGACGGGACAGTGGTGTGAAAGTAAAATTCACCTGGACACTTTCAAATGCAATCTTCACCTSTGGTTTTCAAGGATCTGGATGTGAGACAGCAGATCAGCTTAGAGCAGCAAAATTGTGGTGACACTTTTATCTTCCACAAGTTATTACTCAGAAATTACTCATCAATGGGAYTCATCTTGTGTAACCTTTAAACACAGAGCAGAATGAATTTGGTAAATAATCTGAAGCCCCCCCCAAAGGAGTTTATCAGCAAAATTACCGTGGGGTTTGTTTTTGCTGAGAAAGTAGATTTGTTTCATCACCTGCCAAAGTTTTATGCAAATAGTCCAACCCGAAGCACAAGTATTTCTTATTGGTGGTGTTTGCCTTGGAAGCTTTGTGTTTCATTAACTGCRATTGCTGAGCTGATTGATTAGAATTGGTAGGTGATGCTAAGTGATGGTCTGATGTTGAAATGTTCCTTTTTCACTTGCAAGATCATTCCAGATCAGCTGAAGACTGGCAAAAAGGCAAATGAGGCAAACAGCAGGGTTGCATGTTTCTGGTGGAGGCCAAACAACAGGGAGATTTCTAAGAGAGAAGGGCACAGACATACCTGCTTTGATTTCCATGTGTGCTGTCTGTGAGCTGTGTTGTGTTTCGGGGAGCACTGAGTCAGCCATGCASGAGTTAAGCAGTGGATGCAAACACCAGAGTTAGGGATGTTCATCCAGCCTAGAGTGCTTCCCTCAAGGGGAAGATGCTTTCTGGCACTGCAGCAGGGGAGAGAGAAGCAAACAACTCATGTTGTACCCACCTGGAACCRTGACAGTGATGTTTTAATCTTTTGAAGTGAATAAGTTCCTATGGCAGGGTAAAAATTCGCCTGTGAAATGGCTGATTCTGTTGGTGATACGTTCTCCCTTTAATTAAATAGCTGACTTACCTTGACAATTAATTGGAGTGATGTATGATTTTTATTAGAAACCCATGACTAATTTTTTCTTTCTGTTCCTGCTATCTTATTGTTCTTGTCTCCCCTCCTCCCAAATTCTGCTGTGTGCCAGCCATGTCCTCCAGGCACTGGTGCAGACCAGTGTTCCCTCTTGCTGGGGCTTTTACCTCTTCCAGATAAAGCCATTGTTTTCAGGTATTTTCCACATTGTCCTTCAGAAATTTTCCATTTCACCACAGTTTTGAAATTTCCTTTTTGTTTTCAAAGAGTTTGGGATTCTTTACTTTAAAAAAAGCCACCAATCGCAAACTCCTCAAAACATTTAACCACCACAAACCCCCCACTGTGTAATGCAGTTTGCTTCCTTTAATACCACATTTCCTACTTCATTAAAATAACTGCCAGGTTAAAAAAATCCTCCCTGCAGTCATCCCTGTGCCTGTAATCTGCCAGGAAACTCAAGTGAATTTTGTATTTAATTACAAGAGGCAAGATTCAAACTAGATGTGACTGAAGACATTCCTGTTAAAATAAGAGCAGCAACTACCAAGGATTCAGTTTGTCCCTTATCCTCCTCTCCCTGACTAAAAGGWGCTGAAGCTCAAGCCTTTGCCCAGCATTACAACGTTGGTGGACAATTCTTTAGGGTTTTTCCACTTAGGAAGCTTTAGTCTTTTTATAGGAAATTTGTTTCCATGGGGGAACTTAGGCATGGATGAGTGGGGAACAATGCATTGTTTGTTAAAACAAATTTTTTTGAAGGGAGTGGGCTTGAAAGGAAGGAAATGTGGTTTAGATTTAGGTTTCTTTTGAAATTTCTTCCTCTTCTTTTGCCTCATCCTCCCCACCCCCCAAATACAAAACAAAAATCCTAACAACCAGAAGTCCCCAAAATGGCTTTTCACCACACATGTCTTTAAAATATTTGGTATAATCTGAAAAGCCAGAGAAAATTTGTCAGTTTAAAAAACACTGTCTTGTGTATCCTTTCTTTCCCTTCCCTCTCTGGGTTGTTCTCCCTCAAGAAAATGCAACTTTTGTCTCAGTTTTTCTAGCCTCTGTGTTGGGCCGGGTTTTATTTAGTCTGTGCCTCTGATGTGTGTGTGAAGTAGTTTAAGCTKTGATTTATCCACGTGCTTGAACATTGTGCTGAATGAGGTCCTTGCATCCTCTGATCTCTGGGTTGTTCATTCACAGGGTGGCTCTGGAGGGAAGAGCCCTACGGGGGGCAGGTGGGCTGAATATTCCAGGGGAGGAAGCTCAAGGCTGGAATGCAGTTTAATTTTTACTTGGCTGGATCCAGAGTGGGCAGTTGGCTGGAAATCTCTCTCTCTCCCTTTCCTTAGAGCTGTGTGGCAGAGCTGCTGTGTGACAATCTCCTCCCTGGCGCTGGCTGCCATGGCTGACCCYGTCGCAGAGGAACACGCGCCCCAAGTCCCTGAGCTGTGCTCTGAGTGTGGCCAGGCCCACCTCTTGCTGGACAATCACCTGTACAACTTCCAGGACGAAGTGGACGATGAGCTCATCTGCCACATCTGCCTGCAGCCCCTGCTGCAGCCCATGGACACTCCCTGTGGCCACACGTACTGTTTCAAGTGCCTTGAGAACTTCATGCAGGAGTAYAACTTCTGTCCCATGGATCGGAAGAAGCTCTCCTTCCAGCAGTGCCACAAGTCCAGCCTCCTGGTCCGGAACCTGTTGGATAAGCTGGTTGTGCTCTGTCCTTTCAAAGCTGAGTGCCAGCAGACCATGCAGCGCTGTGAGCTGGAAGCTCACCTGCAGAACAGGTGCATTCCCCTTTCCATCCTGTTATTGCTCCTTGTGTAATGCTGGGGCTGTTGTGCTGCTCGTCAGAACCATCACTGTTCTCAGAGCAGCTCCTAAACTGGGGCAAGGTGGGACAGCAGAGCTGCCAGGGTGAGGCTGCAGAGGTGGGTGGGTGAAGACAGTGTAATTGTGTGTGTGATCTGGAGGAGAAGGGTGAGCTGCTCACCTTCAGGTCAACTGCAGTCACTAAACCTGTCAAATACACAGCCATTTGTGGCTCCTGATCTGGGGCACCRGCTCTGGAGCTGTTACAAACAAGCTTCTTCTTGTTTCCTTTGTGCAGAAAAGCAAGACACAAAGTTTAGTGCTCAGAAAGTGAGGGATTGTGCAGTGCTGCCAGTTTAACATGTCCAATTAAGATGTGCAATACATAAGTCTTTGATTCAAATAGTGCAAGTCCCTCCAAGCTGCACATTATGCAGTTGCTGAATATCTGCTTATCATTCTATTATCTTCTCCCATTCTTTTGCTGAGAAAGAGAAGCAAAGAAAAATGACTCTTTTTTGTTTGTTTTTGTTTGATTTTTTTATTTTTTGTTCCTCTTGTGCAGAGGAAGGGAGATTTTTTTGGTGCTTCCACTGCTGTTTGAGCTGCTGGCAGGTAGAATATTGTCACTTTAAAAGCAGTGCAGGTGACAGAGCTCTTGCCATGGTGCTCAGAGAGCCCATGTTCCTACCTGGTTAATGATTTGCAGGRAAGGGAGCTAAGTGCAAGCCCTGCTGCAGGTGGAACAGACCTCCCTTGGCAGGGAGTATTTTGTCAGCAACGAGAAATGCCACAGGCTTGTTTTCTTCAGCTGTGTCGTAATTCTTTTGTGGCAATTACGTATTTTAAAAATAAGCCAACCAGGGAACAGTTACCCTTTAGGATACCTTTGCAGTTCTAGCCAAGGATGTATTCTTGTGGTTCTTGCTTATATTCAATCCCCATGAGCTGCGAGTTTGTGCTAGAGCCAGGGGAAGGGATGGAAGGTGCTTGTGTGCCCCTTTCCCTTCAGTGAAAGTTTATAATCTCCTTTTCTTGAAGCAGCCCTTTGCACTGGCTGCTCGTTATCAGGCTGGGCTGAGTKCTCAGACTGCAGGGCTGGGGCCACGGCTCACCCCAGGGCTGGGCCTTCCTCTGCCCAGTAAATCTGCCCTGCTATCAGTAAACTTCTGTCACTCGTTAATCCCTCTGGCACAGGAGTTACACACAGGGGAGGGAGGCACCTTAAATGTTTACATTAGAGACCTGCCTGGAAACTGTATCATTCTCTTATATATTTCACCGTTTGTATCTTTCTTGGGGACAATGTATTGTAAGAGTCCAGGCTAYCTCACCTGGGCTGTGGCACAGTCAGACTGAAAAAATGGGGAAGAAAAATTAAAAGATAAGAAAACTGCACTGGGATTTGGGTGRTGGTTTTTTGTTTAAAGTGAGATTAACTGATAGGAGAAGACTTAAGGAAATAAGAACCACATGGTAACTTATTTTCTTGGGAGATTTCCCTGCCTTTTGCAGAATGTATTTGTGTCTTGACATCTTAGGAGGGACGTGCACAAATGGATCAATCAGCTTCTGTCATTAAATTCAGGGTTATTTTACTGCTTGGAGAATAAAAGAGTAGGAATAAACCCGAGGAAGTAATACTGGGATGGGGCTTGCTTAGCCAGAAWGAAAATAGTTAAATTGAGTTTCAAAAGTGACTGGTAAGCACCCAACACTACACATCTCTCTGAAAGTGATGTTTTTGCATTTATCACCTTTTTTGTTATAAAATACTGTTCTCTCTTTTAGCCATTTTTGCAGAGACAGGCTGGTCATGGTGTATCTACATCCAGTGCACATTTTGTGTGTACAGTTACATCCCAATTCTGGGATCTCTCTGGGAAGCAGTTGAGGGATTAGGAACTAAATTGCTCCCGTTCAGGTAGAGCCATCACCTGCAYGGACTGGGAGTGAACCAGGTCCAGGGTCAGGTCTCATTCCACAACAGAAGATGCACAGTCCTCCCATGCTGCTCCTGTGCATAGCTGGTGTGTTAAAACAAAGCCTAATTCAAGGCTGAGCTTGAAACTTGAGCCACTTGCTTTGCATAAAGGTACAGTTCAGASTGATCTCTAAAACGTCAGAGCTCAGTATTTGCTTTTATTTTAAGGATTGTTTTCTTCATGGAGTGTTTGCCAGGTCAATATTTAGCAAGGGAGATTCCTGTTCCTATTAYGTTCTTCTTATTAAAATAATTTGCTTAATAATTTCAAAAGTAGTGAAATAACAAGCCTTCTCTTAAGCTGATGCCTGTATACGTAGAAGCTGAAGGTCAAATGAGATTAAATTTTAGCATCTGAGGTACCAGCACTGCCCTAGTGAGATCTGGAACAAGCTTYTTCCCACAGGTTTGTTAGCCAGAGTTTCATGTGCTGCGTCACCTGCCCAGGCAGAGTCAGTCACTGACAGTCACTGCCAATCTCTCTCCAGGTGTCCTGGGTTCAAGAAATACAAATCTGAACTACAGCGGAAAAAGAATCCCATTTCCAAAGGGAAGGAAGATCCTCCCACCAAGGGGGAGACAAACACGCCCAAGGATCCAGAGGTCCCAATTGGAGACTCCTCACTTGTGGCAGAAAGCTCTGGAGCTGCTGTGGTGTCACTGGGGACTGCAGAGCCYGGACTGGTTAATCCAGCTTTTGAGGAGACTGAAGAAGGTGAGAGTTTGGTACAGAAGTGGAATTATGTATACCTCATAATATAAAAATGAGGTAATTATCTCAGGAAACTCAATGTTAAAGCGTCCCCAGCACTCTCAGACATCCTCAATGCTACTCAGCCATAAGGAGCCACCAGAGGAATCTCTTTCCTTGAGCAGAAGGGAGATGTATTCATGCACATCAGGGGTAGCAGAGTTTGTTCACAAGCACAAAACTGTGCAAAACCATTTGGAGAATCTGTGCTGGACTGCAGTGAGTATTTCAGTATTCTATGGAGAAACAAAGGCAGCTCCTGTCAATGTGAACGTGGAGCACCTAAAACTCTTGCAGAAGCCAAATAATTAGTAACTAGGAAGTGTTCCAGGTTCTTTTTAATCTTGTTAGGAAAGGTAAATATGCAGTCAGTTACCTGGAGTGGTCAGTACCTCCCTCCTGGTGTTTTTATAGCATAAGTTAGGTTTTGGATTAACAGCCAGCTCTGAAAGCCTTGCAGATCCCATAACCATCTCCACTTCAGTGTAGCAGCACTTGTCTCAGCTTGGTAGGAGGCAGCAGCGTGGAAACCTCTGTGMCTTGTCTCAAAGTTAGGCTCAGCTTCCAAGTGTGCAGGTTCTGGAGCTGCCAACCCCTGTGCCTGGGACAGAGGTAACTCACAGGTCAGTTCAGTTCCCTGTTGGCTTTTCCCCAAAGCACACCTGGAACAGGTTTTACATCTCTGGTGTGACACCTGCCCTTCACCCTGACCRGCAGTGCTGGCCCTGCCTGGGTGCCCCATGCTGGGACATCTCATCCCACTTCTAACAACAACTTTCATCTTCAAAGTGCAGCATTGCCTAATTTCCAGTATGCCATGAAACAGCCAAACATTCCTTCTGTTTTACAGGAGGGAAGGAAAAAGAGGAGCAAAGGAAATTAGAGGAAGGAAGTTGCAGAGCAGTAATTAGAGCTGGGTAGTCCCTTTCCCTCATGGGCATCATGGAAATTTGGAATTTGTTATGTGCATGCTTCTAGCAGGCCAGCTGTCGCAGGAGAAAAATAAATCTCTAAATATAGCCAAAACATACTTAAATATATCCCAAGCAATAATAAAGAGTTTGAATTCACCGTAGGTTTGGAGAAAACAGGGAAAATTCAGGAGCAACTGTAAAGAAACAGGAATTTTAAGCTTTTTGTATCACCGTAGATCTCCTGATAGCTGCTTTCCCTCCAGATGCTACACTGAGCACAACCTGCCAGGGGTTTGAGTCTTGGGCTGCTGTGAAAAGGAACATTCTKTTAATGTGTTGTTTTTTCTCTTCACTTTCCACAACCAGACCTTCCTCAGAGAACCAGTCTTGTGGCTGAAACAACCACCATTGAAATCCACCGGGAAGACCCCGAGGAAGAGCTGGGGATGCGGATAGTTGGGGGCAAGGACACCCCRCTAGGGAACATCGTTGTTCAGGAGGTGCTGCGGGACTCTGTGATTGCTGCTGATGGAAGAATTGCACCTGGGGACCACATCCTCGAGGTAGGAAAAGCCCCACTCATAGTCCCATTGCTTCCCTTGACTGAGGGAGGAGAGTGCCTGGAAAAACTGGGAAATCTCTGCAGCTGAGGGTGTTAGAGCACTGATCACACCTGAATGTCAGCAAYCTTGTGTGTCTGCCAGGGCTGAGGARCAGATTTTGGGGTTCCTTCCARTCAGACTCATATTTCCCTTGCATATTTGACAGCTTYTTGAATTTGTAGACCATTTTGGATMAAGTAAAAGATTCCTACCTGATCCATTTCACACCGCAGCCCCATTTCTCTCCAAAGGGCTCTRGTTAGGAAGTCTCATAATTGTTTGCTCTCCTGTGTTGCTTAAGCTGCATATTCTCCATGGGCAGGTCCAGAGTGAGAGCTGCTGACTTGCGGTGAGTATCAGCTACAAAATGTGAGTAATGCAGAGCTCCAGCCCAGCCTGACCCACGGCCGGGCGCTGCCCACATTGCTGGGCTCCGTGGCCCYGGGTGACAGAGGTGACACTTTGTACACACGGTGACAACTGTTAGCACCTCCAGCCATGGCTGTCCAATCAGCTGACAAGCCAGAAAACCTCATTATCCCATGGGATTGGGCAGCAGGAAGGGCTGGCAGCACCCCYCCATACAAGTGGCTGATATGATTTCTGAGCTGGTTTCTCAGGTCAGTGGAGTGACTCCAGTTTTATCCAGTTGGATTGTCCATGTCTCAGTSTCAGGAAGCAGGTCCCACACTTAGGAGCCCTGTTAACATCCTAAAAGATTACTGAATCTTGTGTGACAACAGGCAAAGCAAAATGTTGCTTTCTTAGATTCACCTCAGTAAAAGCACAATTAGATGGATGATTGCAGAAGCTTGTAGACTATGGACCACTTTAAAATAAAGATGGGCAGCCTCCAGTGTGGGTATTCTCCAAGTCAGTACTGAATGCTGGAAGTTAAGGGAAAGCAGTGCTGCATTTCCATGGGCTGAAGGAATGAGTGAACATTTTGCAGTTTCAGATGATTTGTTTGTTGTGTGGGTTGTCTGTCTKGTCCCTGTCCTCAGTTATTCACCAACTACAGTCTCATTTCAACAGCTTTCTTMATTCTTTTTTAGACAACTTTGCTCCCTAATGTGCATCAGAAGCAGCTGCCTCAGTCAGTGATTGCACAGGGAGTTTTCCATCCTGCTCCAGCCTGGCCATGCCCCACACTGYGGACAGTGCCTAATTAATGTGGGCTCTGATTAGTGAGTGCTTTGTTTGTCTCTGTAGGTGAATGGCGTCAACATCAGCAGTGTGACTCACTGCCAGGCTGTCTCCTTCCTGCGCCACCCAGGCCCTGTTCTCCACCTCATGGTCCTGCAGGAGAAGGGCTTTTCCAACAAGACTGCACAGCAGGATTCCACTTCTACCAACCGGGAAGTGATCCACGTCACCTTGATAAAGAGGGACCGATCTGAACCCTTGGGAATCAAACTGATCAGGAAGACTGACGAGGCAGGGATTTTTATTCTGGATCTCTTAGAGGGAGGTTTGGCGGCCAAGAATGGAAAGCTGAGTCGGAATGACAGAGTCCTGTCAATAAATGGGCAGGATTTGAGACAAGGAACTCCTGAAGCTGCTGCMCAGATAATCCAGGTGAGTTCAGACATGGAGAGGTTGTATGGAAATGGTTCTGTGTGGCCGATGGCTCGGTTCCTGTTTGAGCCAGGGCAACCTGCATTCCCCCAAATCTGTGCCATGGAAAGTGACTCCCCTGTGATGTGTGGRAAGCACCACTTCCAAATGAAGATAAACACGAAGAGTGGGAATCCWTGGTGAGTCATCCCTGACAGGTCTGAAGGGAAGCAGTGGCACAGGAGTTCATCTGAGGAGATGGGATCTCCCGTGCWGTTTGCAGCCTCTCTTGCAGAGGGAGTGCTGGTATGCATTGTGTGGATTCGTGCAGCAGACAAGGGGGGATCAGGACAGCCTCTTGTGCTTCCAGCAGTCACACTGAAAGTACTGGCTGGGAGGTGGCCTGGGCTGGCAGCACAGAAAGATCCCTTTGGACTGATTTCAAGCCCTTTCTCCCCGTTTTACCTGTATTTGGGATAATCAACTAGAAAACAACATGGGGCACCTCAGGCTAAAAGCATTCCAAGGTACTAAATGGGTACAAGAGGGGTGGTCTGTCCCTGTGGAATGTGCTCCTGTTGCAGCATGTCAGACATTTTGGTGAAAGGAGTGGGCAARGAATTTTGGTTAAAGGATTAAGAATTGCTGCATGTGCAGAAGATATCATACAGATCAGTTTAAATTCTGTATTTCCCCCAGTGAGTGCCTCCAGTTTGTGTTTTATCTAAGAATCCTGACACAATGCASCTCATCCCATGCTGTTTATCCCGGAAAGGATGTGAGGTCAGCAGGAGGGAGAGCCAGTTCTCTGCCCAGTTATCAGAGGAGTGCAGTGCCACGGGAGAAAAGAAGGGAAGGAACAGAGATTCAGCACTGAGATCCTTTTCCATGTTGTATATGTGCTTCCATTCTGTGGCCACTTAGAATTGATTTGCATGCCACAAGTGCTGCTGTGTGCACACACAACTCCCATAGGAGGAACTCCTAATCCCAGTGGAACCACCAACTAAAGCCTCAGAACTTCATGAGGTTTGGGKGTTTCTTTTTGGAGTGACATTTCTGTGAAACTGTGACAGTTTTCCAAGGATGATCTGTTCCTCTGAGGGCTAATTAAAATCCTTCCTTAAATATAACTTGAAGAGTCTCTCATCCAAGGCCAGGGAATTCACTGTGGCACCAGTGAAACAGTGTCCTGTGACAAGGAGGGAGAGCAGCAACTGCACTTGTGTCATGCAGGGCAGGAAACGCCCCGAGTGAGCACATGGGCCTTGCCAGTGAGTCCTTCACAATAAGGTTCTGTCAGGTGATCTGAAGGAACAAACCCAATGAGAAGAGCAGGAACAATAGTGAGCACTTCCCCTGTAGCCCTGCCAAGGCCAGACTTGCAGCTGGTAAAGTGTTTAACTGGCAGCAACCTCAGACCAGAGGTACTCTGGGGAAAAATGGATGGGAGATGGTGAACAATAGATGAACAAAGCTGGGAGGGAGGGAGCTTTAACAACTTCCTGGGCAATAAAAGCATCCAGTGCTTGTCAYGGTCACTGTGTGTGGACCAGTCAGTGTTGCAGCTCTGTTCATTCTGTAGCACACACAAGATGCTATTTTGGTTGTTTGTATGGAGTGCAGGAATTAATCATCCCTTTCCACCTTCTCTTGTTTGGCATTTGTGGGGGAGGGAGGCACGAGTGAAGCCTGCCTCTACTCCTGTTCCCTCTGACTCATGTTTGTTAATTCCCTTTTTCTTTTTCCAATCACATTCCCTGGCTCTTCACAMAAGACTTTGCATCACGTTGAGGAGCTGTTGGAGAACCTCTGTGGGARCTGATGCCAACCCTTGTCTCTCCTCAAGGCAATGAGGGCTGTCCCTTGTTTCTAACCCATTTTTTAAAATCTTTTTTACTTCCACTCCTTGTTTCCCTGGGCAGACCACGGAATCCAGAGTGAACTTTGTGATCCTGAGGCAGCCTGGGGTGCAGCTGGGAGAGTCAGTGGAGGATGGCAGCACCTCCAACAGCAGCAGCAGYAGYAGCAGCAGCAGCAGCAGCAATGGGGGGAGCCCTGTGCACCATCGCCGGCGACCAGAGCAGAACCACTACAGACGAAAATCCAACTACCAGAAGGTGGGCTGGGGAATGAGACAGAGGTGCTGCTTATTCCTCGTCTAGCAAGTGGATTGTGTTGTTCTGTGATGGTGGTTTATCAAAGAAGGCTGATCAGAAGCTCCATTTCTGATTGAGCACATTTGGGGCTTTTGGTGAAGAATCACTTTGAAGAATCTACAGGGAAACATAATTTTAAGGGGAAAAAGTGTCAAAATTTCTTCAGTGTTGATGCTTAATCCTTTCTAGTCTGGAAAGGGCAGTGAGAAATTTTCCATCCATGAAATGCTTGGGATTTGCTTCTTGCAGTCCATCAAGCCTCACACACTGAGGGCGTTGCAGTGACACCAAGTTGTGTTGCTGTGGGGCCTTTATGGCCGAGGAGTAGAAGCCCCGGGTGACCCTGTGGTGCTGCAGTGACTGCAACCCTTTGTGTGGCACGAAAGTGTGTATGCAACCCCTCTGTGTGTCACAACAAACAMCACCAGTGTGGTGAACCCAGAGGGACCCTCTGTGTGTGTCAGCTGAGTGACCCAACCTGCTGCAGCTGCTCAGCCCGCAGTGTTTCAGTGTCCCTGGAGCTCAGGGAGTTGCTGTCCTGCGTGGCTGGAGTGTGGTTCCTGGAGTTAAATCCCTGAGCAACATTTCCACCCTGTTTGTACAGCCCAGGCTCTAATGTGTGCTCTCACTGCAATCAGAACATTTAATCAGGGACAGCTTCAATGCTTGGCGTGAACAGYTTTGAGATGAGCTCATGGCTTGTGCCTCAGTGCAAAATTACCCTCTTCGGAGGGAGCATCTCCCTAGAGCAAATGGATTTGGGATCAGTAGGACAGCACTGCCTCAGCACTGGTGGTTCMCCTTAGAAAGGCTGCTCTGTATTCTCACCCACAGCCACGATATAGGAAGCTGACTTTGCCATCCAGCAACATTGCTGGAATGTTCAGGATTAAGGATACAAATCCTGTGGTCTTGTCTTCCAGAGCTGGGCTTCTGTTAATTGCATTAATGAAGCTGCATTTTGTACTGTCTTTCCCTTGTAGGATTTGCCTCAGGGATATGTAAGTCACGAGAAGACAGTTGCAATAAAAAAGGAGCCAAAGGAATCTTTGGGAATCACAATTGGAGGTGGAAGGGATAACAAAAACAAGCTCCCTATTTATGTGACAAGTGTGCAGCCCATTGGATGCCTCTTCAGGGATGGCAGAATCAAGAGAGGTAAGGGAGGCTCTCAGACCCTTTATTCTTTAGGAACTGTTTTTTTTTCGGTGGAAGCTGGACAGGGACACCAAAGACAGGCTGGAAACAGGGTTCACATGACCCCTTGAGGTTGAACTGGGCTCCATAGCCCAAAGGTCTGTAATAATCCCATTTCATTTCATCAACAGGGGATGTACTTTTGAGCATAAATGGTGTTGATTTGACTCATCTGAACTATTATGAAGCTGTGTCAGCACTGAAATCCAATGCAGCTTCCCACTCAGTGACACTGAAAGCCTTGGAAATCCTCTCACTGAACTCCCCAGAGCCCTCCCTGGACATCAGGGARCAGGGATTCAGCTGGTCTCCCCTCTGGATCACGTGGCTTGGATTGCCCAGGTATGTTTGTCAGGGSCTGGATGGAGAGCTGTTAATCACAGGGTTGACTTTCACTCAAACACTAGAAATTAATGACTTTGTTGATGAACTGGAAGCATTACTGGTGTTCCTGTTTAGCTGTAAGGCAGTGGAAAGCCTTATTTGCCAATGAGATCATGGAATAATGAATGTGTAAGGAACTTAAACTGTTTTTGTGGGGTGACCCATCATTCTCACACTCCTGTTGGATTGCAGTCGTGGTTTAGAAGCTCCTGAAGCACTTTTTGCAAAGAGAAATAGTCCATATTAGATACAGTCTCTGCTAAAATACTCACTGAAATCTCTCTGTGCTTCTTTCTGCATCCCTTTATGCAAGCCAAGAGACAACTGAGCTGTTTGGGAGTTTCTAATCTGATCATCTCACTTAGGGGCAGACATTCTTTCAGTCTAGTTCTTCTTGGCTGTTGTAATTGTATTATCTTTAGCATGAAGCAGAAATGATTCTGCACAGTTTGAGTTTTCCTGCTGCAAAACTTTGCACCACAGGCTTAGCAGAGATTCTAACCTAGCCAGTTCCAAGTGAWAGCTTCAATTTCCCTTTCCTTCCTGAAGAGCCCAACCTCTGGCTCCCTTCTGCAGTGACACCAAAACCCTGTGAAAGACACAGTCTGTTGTCATCCCAGCTGACTGCAGGAGCATCTGCATGGGGAACAGGAAACCTGCTGTGGGAAGCCTGGATTATTTACAGCCTGGTTTCTTGAGACACCTAAAAAGGAACCCCTAACAAAGCCTCTGTTGTGTTACTTACAGCCTGTAAATGTTCTACAAACCAGCCCAAGGAAAGGCAGCCTTTGTGTCCCCTGTACCTGGGCTGTGCTCAGCACCCTCCTCCCAGCTCCCTCTGCTCTCCTGGGAATTGGCCTGGYTGCTGCAGGCAGCTCTGGGATCAGCTGGCCCTGAGCTGCCCCTGGAGAGCCCAAACCTGGGCACCAACCCTCAGATGCTGCCTGGTGTTTGTTCTGGTGCTGCTGCTGCAGTGAACTACAGCAAACCAAAACCTGGCTGGGCTCATTTTTTTCCTTTCCCATTTTCCTGGCTCAGGTGGCTTGCAGCTTCCCCACACTGCTGCAGGGACTGGAGTCCTCTCTGCTCCCTGATCTCCTTCATTTCAGGAGTGTCCTGACATTACCTCTCTTTAGTGCCTTGCTGGAAATTCCTGTGCTGCTGATGTTGATRTTGCCCTCCTTCATTTGACTGGAACTCCTGCAGCAAGGAGTGATTCCAGGTGTCTTTTCTGCTCTTCACTTCCTTAACTCCAGGCTGAATTCTGGCCTTGAAATTTGTCTGCAGTTCTGGGTGTGAGGGTTGTAGGAGGCACAAAGCAAGGTTATTTCCTTTAGGATCTGACAATCTTCCTCCTTCCTCCACAGCACAAAAAAGGGCTGTAATTCCTGTGCTTCCTCACTCCTTTTTCCTCTGCCCCCAGTGAGACCTGATAGCAACTGGCTGGTCACCCACAGGACCGTGTTTGTCACCTGGGAATGTTCAGGGTGCCTCTGGCATTTCAGGCTGGCTCAGGGATGTGCWGCACAGTGAGATCCCAGTGCCCTCAGTGCTGTGCACAGAGATCCTGASCCACCCAAACTGGGTTCCCTTTGAACAGGACAAACTGCCAGTGCTGCAGAGAAACATCCCTTGCACAGATCCTGTGTGCACCACACTGACACCACTGCACAACCCCCCCAAAATGTGCCCAAACTGGGCCCTGTGCCCTCAGCACCAGTTCTTTCACTGGGATCTGTTCCTTTTGGCTGCCCTGGCCTCAGTGTTTTGGAGCGTTCTGGAGAATGAGAGCTCAAAGCATACCTCATGTACAGTTTTGGGTTCGTTCAGCCTTTTTCCCCCTCATTTATTCCTCAATTCCAGCAGAAGTATCCTTCTCTTTTTAGAGCAATGTATTTCTTTCTAGTTTAACACAAATTTGATGCTGAAGGATGTGAGTTGAAATGAGTGCTCAGGGCTAAGGAAGTGCATTTGATCCTTGCAGCACTTGAGCCCACAGTGCTTCATTCAGGTTTCCATTCCCATGTCTGTGGTTTCTGTTTCTGTCAAAAGGAAACTCTGATTTCTTCAGAGCRTTATGTTAAATCCATACCAGGCACTGACAGTATAAAATACCATCTCAAAAGCTGGTTTGGAGTGGTCCTAATTCATCTCCTAATTCAACACACCCTGCATCCTAAAGGTACCAAAAACAAGTTTAYAGATTGATTTCTCTTTTCTCTCTAAAACCTTTCCCTCTTGAAAATGCTGTGCATTGTGTGGCTTGTAGCTAAGCCTCAGGGGTGGAAGAGCAKTTTTCCTCCTGCCTTCTTCGGTGGGGTTATCTGACCCCAGTTTCCCTGGAGTCTGAGCTCTTCCCACAACATTTGTGTGGAGCTCCCAGTCCCGGCCCTGCTGCAGCTCCAAACTCCACCRGGGACCAGGAACTGCCAACTCAGCAGCGTGCTTGGCACCATAAAACCTGCACCTCGACCTTCCCTAAACTCTCAAATTCTTTTCCCACAGTCATTTTTGATTGCAGTAAATTAGTTTCTCTTCCTAAATCCCCTTTTTCATATGGAAAACTGATTCCTAGCAAACAGCCCTGTCCAAGCTCCTRGAGAACGTGCCTGACGTTTTTATTTATGTTCTCTGCTGGTGCAGCACTCGCTACTGTTGCTCTTGGGGYTATTTATTTGCAGGAGCTGCTACAGCCCTGGCTCAGAACTTTGTGTTTCACTGGTGTGGTCCCTATGGAAGGAACCCATGGAGGAATCAGCGAGCTGGAGCTGGGTGTCCTGGTGTTTATGTGTGAAAAATTCCTCCAAAAGTAAATGACAGTTTGAAAGTAGATAATTGGATCTTTCTCCTGGTGAGAAGTTAACTGAGAAGGCTTTTGAAATCTGAAACTCCTCTGCAAACTGCTCCAGCAAAGCCCTTGAGGCAAAAACGTTTATTAGGAAAAGTTTAGCTGCTGGAATAGCTCAGCGGGGTGATGATGAGCAGCAGTTTCACAGCTCCTCGGTGCCAGGATGTAACCGGAGCTGGAGCCGGGATGGAACCGAACGCGAGCCAGGGCACACGAGCTGCCCCTCCACACCTTCTGTGTCACCTCGCCAAGGCTTTGCAAGGCTCAGTGCCACCAGCTCGGGCAGCTGGCACTGCCATCTCCCATTCCCCGGGCTCCTGAGCAGACAAACCTCGCTGGCCGGCATCCAGACCCGGGGAGCTCTCTCCRAGGAGCCCAATATCTGAGCTGTACATCCCGGATCCTGCAGGAGAGCCCTGCCCTGCTCTGAGCTGGCACTGAAGGGAGCCTGCAGCACCTCACATTGCTGCTGGTGCTGCCGAAAGGCTTCCTGGTACCAGTGCAGTGTCAGAGGGAACAAAAACCCCTCTACTMTCGGTAATTGCAGGGGTGTAGCTGCTGCTCACTGGTAATTTGGGTTTGTCACTGGTGCTGTGTGTGTTCATTAGCAGATTTCATCAAGTTATTCAGGAGTATTTCAGGTCCCAAACCCTTTAGAGCAGGGTGATTTCCTGTTGGCTCTTCAACCAGGGCTGACAACGCTGAGGAAAGGTTTCTAAAGGACTGGCATCATCAGATTTGAGAATCAACCCCGTGATGTTCTCTGCAAAGGGGTATCTCAAATTCTAAAAACCAGSAAAATGAGGCTATTACCTATCTGTGCTTTCCATGAGGGAAAACATACATTTCTGGTCAGGCAATTTTCCTCATAACCTCTGTTTCTGACGCAGCAACCTTCACTTCTGTCAAGATATTGTCCTGAGTAAAGGAAATCTGGAAAGTTGGGGCTTCAGCATCGTGGGAGGCTTTGAGGAAAGCAAAGGAAACCAACCCTTCTTCATCAAAACCATCGTGCCCGGGACTCCCGCATTCCGCGACAGGAAACTCAAGTAGGTGTGAAGCACCCAGGGGATCATCACCAGTGCTGGGGTTTCCCAAGAGCTCTGACCCTTGTAAGGAGCTCAGCTCCACGTTAATGACTCATTCTGACACTCATTTGTGAGTTAATACTGTTGCCAAACTTGTAACGAACTAAGCCCTGCATTAAGCAGTGTTTTGATTTCTCCATAAAGGTGCCACGAAATGGAATTTACAGCCGTTTAAAACCTAACTGTGAAGGTTTTAATGGAGTAATTAGGTAAAAGTAGAAAGGGGATGTTCGAGATGAATCTTGCAGGCTCCAGAGTATAAAACCTCTTGGATTAGGAGAAGTATCCCCAATACAAGCAACAAAAGCCCTCCAGAGCAGGAAGCGGAACTGGAGCTTTGCCGGTTGTTGGTGACAAATGCCAGCGACAGGGGCTGGAGGGATGTCTGGGGTCCAAGAGGTGGCTCTCTGGAGGCAGGGCTGTCACCGACAGCATGGAGGGGACACGGTTTGGTGCAGGGAGCTGGGCTTGGYTCCCACAGCTGAGGGGGAGCACCGGGCTCAGCCGGGCTCCTGTGAGTGCCGGGRCCGGGCCGGGCTCTCCCCAGCAGGCACCAGGGAAGGGCTCAGCACCTCCCACCCCTCCGAAGGTGCTGGCTGTGCCCGAGGGGAGCAGGACCCTCTCACATCTCTGATGGTGACAGCGGGGCCCTGGAGGGCCCTTCAGCTGCAGGACTGACCAGGGGCATCAGTGTTCATCAGCCCTATTTCTGTAACCTCTCCCTCTGCTGCCAGCCCTGCTGGGCACATCCTGGTGCCCTTCCCTGCTGTCACCCAAGCACCTGCAGTGTCCCCCTCCTCCCTGCTCCTCTGACTCAAGGGAAGAAGTTCTTTCAAGGAGGAGCTGATGATTTGGCTCAGGGTGGGCTCAGGRTGACTGTGGCTGCAGTGTTAATAATGAATCCAGTCCTGACAAGCGTGGCTCATGTCTTTGGGCAGGTGTGGAGATGAAATCGTGGCAGTGAATGGCGTGCCAGCAATAGGAATGAGCAACTCGGAATTAATCCCGATGCTGAAGGAGCAGAGGAACAAAGTCACCCTGACCGTGGTGTCCTGGCCAGGGAGCCTCGTGTGAGAACTCCACCAAACCCCCAACACTTCCAGGTATCCCAACAGCAGCAGAGCTCCACCTGACAGGGAACTGACTGCTCAACTCCTGCTCCTGCTGCATTGCCATGGAGGACTCCTCCCTGTTTCCTTTTTGTGGAAAACATTTTACCAACAAACCTGGATGTGGAATTCAAAGCAAGGGTTAATCYAACAGTTGCTGGAGCTTCCCAGGCTCGTTAAAGCTCCTTAGGATTGGTGGCTGCTGAGGCTTTCCTTGATTTTAGGGCTCTGCTTTCCATTGAGTAGGGTTAAAACAGAGGCTTTTAGAAGCAGCCAATAAATCTGTAAGGATGGGTGGGGACCCAATTAGGCACTTCCTATCTATCAAGATTTCCCAGTCCTCATATTTCTAGGTGTCAGTAGCCCAAGGAATGTATTAATGCATTAAAAGCCCAGGGTAACTCAGAGCTGCTGGCTGAGCCTGGTGGAGCTGTGTGACCTGAATGAGGGTCCTGTCACAAATCCTGATTGAGGATCCTGCCAATTCCACGGATGCACTGCAAAGGGACAATTTCAACACCTTCAAGAACCACCGACAAACGTATCAGCAAGACTGGTTTCATTGCGATACGATGTTGCAAAGTGAGACTTTACCCAAGGTCAAGAGCAAGGTTCACTCTTACTCCACACAAGTTTCCCTGGTTTTAGGATTGATAAAAGCAGTTTTTTCCAGAGGAGGCAGGTGAGGAAGTGAACAGGTCACAGCCACCCCTGCCTGCCTTTCTTTATTTGTTCCCTGGGGTCAGCAGCAGAGTTCAGGCAGGGACAGGAGCTCCTGTAGTCAGGCAGGACACATTGGCTCCTGCTGYTCTGTTCCTGTCCCTCCTGCAGCTGGAGCAAAATACCTACTCATGGCATCAGGGGAAGCTCCAAGGGTCCTTGGCTGCAGGAAATGTCCCCTCCAGAAGGAAACTGTGCCCAGCCTGGCTTCAGTTCAAACCCACTGTGCAGTTAGAATTTAGAATTAAAGAACTGAAGCCCAGGCAGGTTGGTTTGACCTCTGACACTGTGAAAGTTCCTACTTGCAAACTCCACCTGAAGCAATTCCCTTTTTTAGCAGCAAAATGAGCAGTAGAAATGATGTTTTTTTTTTTTCTCAAAACAAGGTTGCACTGAGAGTTCTTTCTTTCTGTGCTGCCTCTGCTGCACCTTTTGCAGGAGCAGCTTTGTAAGAATCCAAGGAGTCTGTCCCCTGTCCAAATGCTGCCACRAATGAATGTTTAATTCCTTGTAGCAGCCCTGCAGGGAAGAGCCCAGCCCTGGCTGAAGCTTCTCCTGGGCTGGCAGTTTGTCACTTGCTGTCCCTGGGCCTTGTTTACACACGGTGACTTCACTTCCTGTGCTGGCAGGGCCTGTTCCCAGAGCCAGGACACAGCAGGGGCTGGATCAGTGCTCACGGCAGCTGCCTTTGGCTGCTGGACACCCCTGCAGCTTGGACAGCACAGCTGGGGCTACCTGGGCTCCAGGGCTCTGGCTCCTGTTGTTCTGCTGAATGCTGAGAGCCAAATAATCCACAGARGAAAACTCGTCATTGACCTCGCTGGGACACAAAAACCTGAAGCAATTTTTTATCTCTTTCCAATCAATGTGCAGAATCTGTGCCTGGAACAGTAAATATTGCTGTGGACAGAGAGAGGGCGATTCCCACTGCCTGTTCCAAATGTGGGTAAAGTGCAGGAGGGAAGAGCTGTGCAGCTGCTGGGCTGGCAGTGGGGGTGAGGGGAGGCTGCAGAACCATTTTTACTGTTACTCCATCTCCTTTCAAGGTGCCTTCAACTTCACCAAAATGTCCTCRTTAATTTAAATTTTGTTTCCAAAATCAGCTTGTTAATAGATGTTGAGTTTGTTTTGATGCCTTTATAAATTATTGTAATATTGCTGAAAAATACGGATTATGGGTGTGGTCTTTACCTTTTCTTTCCATGTATCAGCTAATGATCCCAGAACAGGTCACCTCCACAAAAACCTCACCCTGTGAGGCAGGAAACTGTGTAATTGTCTTTGCTTCTCCAAGGAAAGGAGCTGGACTATCCTAAAATACACTGTGGCTGGGAAAAATCCCTCAACAACAGTAAACCCCACATCCCACCAGGAAAMCTGCAGCAGCTTCCTGATGCAAGTAAAGATTATTTCCAACACCCCACCTTCCCTCATATTAAAGGCAAACAATTTACCTCTGTTTAATGAAAATAAACCCATTTAAACCACTTTAAAATCACAGCTACTCCAGGGCCCCAAAGGCCTGCTCCCATTACTGAAGGTCCCATGCACCTCAGAGTGTTCTCTGACTTGGGTCCAGCTCATTCAAATAACACAGGAGGAAGTCCAGCACTGACTGAACCCATGCTGGATTCCCATCCCTGCTCCCACAGCACCCTCAGGGGTGGAGGGGATGCAGCCTGGATGTGACCYCATTAATTGTGTCACTCCAACTGTGTAGGGATCAGGGAGCGGGTGTGGAGCAGCTCTGCCCACCCCTGGAGAGGCACCACGGACACCTGAGCATGCAGAGTGGGGAGAAATGGCCTTGGGTGGGGCCAACCCCCCTCACCYGGGTGCAGCACTGCAGTGGCAGCACTTCCCCTGATTCAGGGCAGGAAAAAGCAGCTCACGAGGGCTGGGGSCACTGCCTGGRCCCTCTGCCATTGGCTGCCCCAGCRAGGTCAGAGTTCCTGTGCTGGGAAAAACCACCACATCTCATCATCACCWAATGCAGGCTCCTTAGGGGCAGGGATGCTGGGCCCCTCTTCCCCTTGGCACTGCCCTGGCCACGCCAGCTCTGGAGGGGAGGGTGGGCACCTCTGCCCTGTGCRGTGCCAGGGAGCACAGACCCAGCACTCCTGAATCCTCCTCACCAGTCTGGTTTGGATTCCTCCTGGGCAGAAGCAAGTTCACCCCAAGCTCCTGAAAGCTTGTGGGCACTCCCAGCTGACCCCCTGCCCTGAGCAGAAGCTGCCAGGAGGATTCCCTTGCTCCACAGCCAGTGCCAGGAGCTGGCAGTGCTGTGAGGGGGGCAGTGAGTGATGCCATATTCCTCARTCTGGGCTCCACTGTGGCTGCAGAGGGAGGAACACCCTGCAAGCAGATCCCAACCAACCCTGGCTCAGTGCACACACATTTCCCAGCAGCTCAAAGCACATTTAAAAAGCTCCACGAACACCAAAACCCAGCACAAGTCCCAGTTGTCCTCCCTGGGCTCTGCAGCTCCAAACCCATCACTGCAGTGTCACAACGTTTAACCAAAAGGCTCTCCTGGCACAGGTTGGACACTTCCCAGCACACTCAGACTTCCAAGAGTACAATACCAAAAAATACAGAACATTTCAGAACCATATTATTTTAGGACAAATATTTCAGACAGTTTTAAATAACAAGTCAAAGGAAAATGAGACATTTGTGGACTCACAAACAGAAGGGCAGGATCCAAAGGACCAGACAGACCAATGATTTCCCCTGTTCTTCCCACCCAGAAACATGTTGCCCCTTCCCCAACCAATACCAAGTCCAAAGAAACTTTGGAATTCGACTAAATTTATTTTGGGATCTAAGGGAAAGGAATGCATTGGACAGGAGTGTTGGTGATACCCAAATAGAAACGCCAACCCCAYGAGGGCAAACTGCTAACTGGGACTTGGTGGTCTCTACTGCACTCTAGATTATTCAGTCAACTCTTAGTAAAAAAAAAAAAAGGAAATAAAATAGTTAAGTCAAAAGTAATTAAAGAGAAATTCATGCTCTTACTATGGATCTTCATTGATTCCCCACGTAGAGGTGCAACATGACAGAACTACCTTTGCAATGGATAAAAAAAGCCAGTTTTGGAGTCTCTGCACACGCWGTGTGAACACCCTCAGCAGAGTCTGGAAGCTGTCCCATCCAGGCAGGCCCCTGTGCCCACCTAGAGCAGATCCTGCAGCTCCTCCTGACATGCCCAGGACAGAACAGAAGCTGTTTTTGTAGCTATAAAGAAATTTATTCTGGGATGAGACTTTTCACTACTTGCCACCAGACTCTAAGCTGGCTCCCAGGATCTAAGTCACACTGTTCTTTGGACAATAAAGTTCAAGTTGCACTTACTGTCCTAGTTTTCAGAAAAGGAATGATGATGACAGAGAAGAACCAAGAACTATGACCTAATTGCATTAGTTTCAGCTGAAGCCATCTTCCATCAGAAACCATAGGATCTGATACACCAAAGTTCTCCCCAGGGATATGGATGAGTGAAGTAGCTCAGTGCTTTGTAACTAGTACTGCTGTATTGTCTTGTATCAAAAACAAACCAACAAAAAAAAAAAAAAAAAGGAAGTTTAAGGGCACGTGCAGCCTCAGCTCCTGAAGCACTGCTGGATGTGCCGCGGCTYGCCCAGTCGGCCTCTTCCCTTGTAAAAAATAATAAAAAAAAAAATCACCCCCCCCAACCAAAACATCACCGATGCCATGCTGGTTCCACAGGAGCGAGGTGCTGCCGAGGGCTGGTGGTGGGCCTGGCTCACTCCTTGGTGTCCTGCTCCTCACCCTCTGCAGCTCCRTCCTCGCTGGCCTCCTTCTCCTCCTTGCTCCGCTTGTTCTTTTTGTGCTTGTGGCGCCGGTGGCTCTCCCCCTCCTCGCTCTCGTGCTGCTTCCTGAGCGGAGAGCAGAGGGGACAAAGTGACATCGGGCACAGCCCTGCCACAGCAGGGACCCGCTGATGGGCACAGGGCTTTGACCCCACCCCCAGGAGCCACCTCAGCAGGGCCGAGGGCACCGTGGGCTTTTGGGATGATCTGATCCTGCGTGTGCCTGCTCCAGAAAGGGCTGGCAAACAGCACCCCCTGCATCAGCACAGCCACACTGCCATTGTCACACTGTCACTGTCACACACTGT